ATAGTTGTTTTTTTAAAATATATTTTTATTGATTTCAGAGAGGAAGGGAGTGGGAGAGAGATAGAAACATCAGTGATGAGAGAGATTCATTGATCGGCTGTCTCCTGCACACCCCCTACTGGGGGTTGAGCCCACAACCCAGGCATGTGCCCTTGACTGGAATCGAACTCAGGACCCTTCAGTTAGCAGGCCAACGGTCCATCCACTGAGCCAAACCAGCTAGGGCTTGCATATAGTCTCCTCCTTTCAGTACAAAACAAGTATTTACACACCAACCACTATGTACAAGAAGAAGTTCTAGGTGCTAGGGATAAATAAAGTAGTTCACAAAACGAAGTTCCACTGAGCCAAACCAGTTAGGGCATGCATATAGTTTTTTACTTAACATTGCTTCATAAACCTTTTACAATATTATCAAAAATTCTTCAAAGACATATTCTTTATGCCTATAAAATGTTTCTTCATCCCTGGCTGGGTGGCTCAGTTGGTTGGAACATTGTACTGTACACCAAAAGGTTGCTGGTTCAATCCCTGGTTGGGGTGTGTACTGGAGTCAATTGATCAATGTTGCTCTCTCACATTGATATTTCTCTCTTTCTCTCTCTGTCTCTCTCTCTCTCTTTTCTTCCCTTTCTAAAAATCAATAAGCATATCCTCAGGTGAGGATAAAAAAAGTTCCTTCAGAAAGATGTGAAGTTATTTTTTTAGTAGTTCTGCTATATTAAAATAGATTTATTTCCATTTTCCCTATTATTTAAAACTAGAGGCCTGGTGCACGAATTTGTGCACCAGTGGGGCCCCTGGGCCTGGCCTGCGGGATCTGGCCAGAATGGCTCTCTGATATCCCCCGAGGGGTCCTGGATTGCTAGAGGGCACAGGCCAGGCTGATTGATCCCACGGGTGCACTATCGGGACTGGGGAGGGACTGTGGGAGGGCTCCAGGGCATGTCCAGCCCATCTTGCTCAGTTCTGATCGGCTAGACCCCAGCAGCAAGCTAACCTACCGGTCAGAGCCCCTAACCCCTGGTGGTCATTGCACGTCATAGTGAGCAGTTGAGTGGCCTTAGCATATCATTAGCATATTATGCTTTACTTGGTTGAATGGATGACCAGACTACCAGACACTTACCATATCAGGCTCTTATATATATAGGATAATACTGTGATGGCCATCCTTACATCCACATCATTGGTGGCACTTCTGATTATTTTATTTGATTCTGAGCCTTGGGGTTCGTCCCAGAAGTGATGTGACTGAGGCAAAGGGCAGAGCCTTAAAAAAAGTCCTTGTTGTACATGACTAAATTGCTTTGCAAAAAGTTTGTCCCAAGTTTTATTTTGTGTTGTTTACATTTAAAAGTCTGGGGTCTTATGGTGTCAAATAACAAATATAGCTAGTTTAAGCTACCATAACACATCTAGAAAATTCTGGAAGAAGGAAGGTAGTATGTTGGGTTCAATATCAACTCGCCATCTGAACCTGAACGGAGGGGGTCTGTTTCCTCTCCATAAGTCCCATGGTGCTCATTGTATTTTAATCATCCCAGAACGCAAACAGATTGACTACAGTTCAAAGACTAGGCAACAATTAAGAAGGGACTGACTTATGGGAAAAGACAAAGAGAGATCAAAGTTGGAAAGCTATGTGGCAGAAAACTCTGGAAGGAGGTGATCCCCATTTCCAAGCACTGAAATGCAGTAATTAAATGGCTAGAGGAGGAATTTCTTGTGGGGACGCAGATGGGCCAAAAGGTTATGGGATATGCTGAACAATGAGACTTCTGGAGGGGAATGTCGAGAAGAAACTTCCGTGTGGTTCTGTATGAGAATAATCTGTTGAGGAAATGCTAGCATTCCTTACAGAGTCAGAAGGCGAAGCAGCAGGGGGACAGGGCGGGTCACATGATGGAATCTGTTCTCCCGCAAGTGCTGAAGGAGAACAGCTCGGACTCGCCCTTCGTCAGTGAGTAGTCTCTGCTGAAACCGCAGTTGACCAGAGAACCTTGATTTGAAGGGAGGAGATTTCACATTTTTGCTCTTTTTTCTTAATAACTTTTTCTATTTTTTCCATTTCAGTTGCCATGTAGTATCGTATTAGTTTCAGGTGTACAACATGTATATGCCTCACGAAGGGATCACCTCACGGGTCTGGCAGCCGACACCCTACAGAGTTACTACGATCTTATAGACTATATTCACTCTGTTGTATTTTACATCCCTGTAACTGTTTCCATAACTGGCAATGTCAACTTCACCTCTTCTGCTCACATTTTTTCTTTACCTGCTGCTAAAGGACAGCAACAATGACAGAAAGCTCATCATCTTAGAGAAGGGGTTGGCACATATTTTCTATAAAGTGAAGGATCCTAGATATTTTTGGCTGTGCAGACCTCCAGGCTCTGTGTCAACCGCTCACCTCTGCCTTTGAAGGCTGAAAGCAGTCATGGCCATATGCCAATAATGCACATGGCTGTGTTTCAATAAAACTTTATTTACAAAAACAGTGCCCAGAGAGTGTAATTTGCTGACCCTTAACCTAGAGAAGTAGGAAAGAGTTTCTGAGAGATGTGGGTTCAAATACCCTCTCATTTTTCTTGAGTCTAAAAAGGAGTTAATCACCCTGGCCATGTTGCTCAGCAGTTAGAGCATCTGCCCATGCACCCTAAGGGTCGCAGGCTCAATTCCAAGTCATGGGCACATACCTGGGTTGCAGGCTCAATCTCCGGCCCCAGTAGGGGCTCGCAAGAGAGGCAAACATTCGAGGTGTCTCTCTCACATTGATGTTTCTTTTTCTTCTGTCTCTCTTCAGCTTCTTCCCTCCTTTCCACTCTCTCTGAAAAGCACTGGAAAAAATATCCTTGAGTGAGGGTTAACAACAACAAATATTAAACAAACAAGCAAACAAAAAAGGTTAATAAAAATATCTACCTTATGGCCCTAGCCTGTTTGGCTCAGTGGATAGAGCATTGACCTGCAGACTGAAGGGTCCCAGGTTTAATTCCGGTCAAGGGCACATGCCCAGGTTGCGGGCTTGATCCCCAGTGGGAGGCGA